ACCAGACTCCGCGTGGCGTTTCGCAGTAGGTGCCTGATTGACAAATATAAAATATGCTTTCGGCCAACCGCTTGATTAAAAAGAGAAGCAATGGCTCCAAACAGTATCTCGTAGAACGTCACCTCTCACTATTTAGCATAGCAGAATTGGTCATTCTGATATACTTGCCGTATTGCTAGTTAGATTGTTTCGCATAAATACTCGTATATCTTAATGAATAAGTGTGAGGCAGGCAGGACCAAGCATACTTATTTGGAAAGGATCTTTTTTGCCTTCTAAGCTCAAGTCCAAACTCAACCTCTCACCAATTTTTGAGTTATTGTTTTTGAGATTCTGTAATGGATGACAGGATCTAATCAGACATTCAAAGCATTATTTATTTCAATTTGCAATACGCTTTTCTCGAGATCTGCAGGTTCGCAATACATCCTGAGATTAACCTTCGTTTTCATTGCTATTTTGGAGGGGATTTGACACTGAGAGGATATCGCGTTCAAGAAACAGCTCAGGCGCCAATCAACGATGCGACAAAGTGGAGCTTCAGATATACACAATTTATTCAGCCTCAGTTATCTTATGGTGCGCCCAATCGCAACTATCATTAAGTGGGAGAATTCAAATAGTAGACGGTAGGAATGGGATATTTTGCTTTGCTGATGACACGATTAGCACTCCTTGGGTAGCAGCTGGATGCACCAAATCATTGATGCAAGAGTTAGCACCATAAATCTAGGAGCTGCGTTTGATTATCTTCTTACAGTCTGCACAAGAAAGCGACAACAAACTCTTAATCCAACTTTTGCTTTTGGGAACTTGGTGTGAGGAGATTACCGCATGTTCGCCTACACGTTATTGACGCATAAATTGTGTTCTGGAAATAAGAGACCACTATTTGTAGGAGGGAAGCAAATTTAAAACTAGTTCTATCGTTTACTTAGTACAAATGTCCTCCGACGACGAATGCAACACCTTGGGCTCACCTCTTTTCCTTACTTAAGCAGCAAATTCAGGGCTCTAAACATGGTAAGGGATTGTCAGTACTTTACCTGAGAGTGAATTCTACTTCGCCTACTCGAAGTTGTTACGATCTCGAAGAAATTTGTTTAAACCGGATTTTGCATGTCGCCTCTCGTATATCGACAAGTTCCGTGTGTACAGGGCACGCGCGCGTCTGCGTAGGTGCACGCGAGGAGCGCGCACAAGAGATAAGCGAAAAACGGTGCATTTCCTCCGCAGCTAGATGGGTGCTAAGCGAGAGACAGCGCCGCACACCTAGGTTTCATGCGCTCCGCACTATTGGTTGAGCGTTTTTGCTAAACCCCACCCTCCATTCCGCACACATCAGGAGAGGAGAGAAAGCGAAAGGGAGAGGGGAGAATAAGCGGGGTATACGGCGCAAAAGCACTTATTGCTGGGATGCTGCCTGCCTGCTAGGCTTATCACTCCTCTCCAATCTCTGCCTTCACGCTCAAGGTGCGCGAGTGTGTGCGCATGTGTGCGGACGTATCACCTCTGATCTGTGCTCATCGTATGCAAGTGTTCGGCGCTGCCCACCTCCCCCTTCTCGTCTTCCATTTTCCCCTCCTCCGTGCTCCCTCTCACTCTCCATTAGCGTGTGAGTCTTGCGCGTCATCGTGCTGCTCTTGTGCTATCAGTCCACTGCAATCGCTAGAACCGGCGCCAGAGCATTATACACTCACCCAGGGCGGTGAAAGTTACACACACAAACGCACGCACCTACAAACACATGTAAATATATATGTATTCATATAGAGACGTGCGCGCAAAGATGGAAGAGGACTAACTTTCCTTCATCCACTCACTCATCCAGTGAGGTAAGCAAACAAGCAAATAGGAGTGCGTTCGTGCGTACGTGCGTGCAAGCTTACGGGAAGAGAGTTAATATTACCGTGGAGAGGCACGCGTATTTGTGTGCGGATGATACTTTTTTGGGAAAGGGAGGAGGAGGGGGAGGAGGAGGGGGAGGAGGAGAAGAAGAAGAAGGTGGAGGAGGAGGAGGAGGAGAAGAAGGGGAGGGTAGATATGCACCCTCCCATCCTGGAGATAAAGTGGGTTGATAATGATGAACCGCGATTGGTGCGCGCACATACAGTCTAAAAGCCCCGGCGTGGTCTGTTAATTAGAATGTGTCTATGGATGAGAAGAGAATCAAGTAAAGTTGCCAGGTTGTCCAAAGATTGACTCTCTTCCTGGGTGCTCAAGAGCAAGTACTTCATTAGGTTGGATGATTGTCAGATCAAAGCAAATAAAACATGATGGAAATCAAAAATTTCTTCTGTTTTGCCTCAGTGAGCAAACAACTTTGAAATGAGGCGTTTTTTGCCCATTTTCATTTTATATTAATTTAGTAACGTTCCAAGACGAAAAATGATTGTGCAAAACTACAAATTGGGGAGAAGCCAAAAACCTGAAACTGTAGTTATAAATAATGGCATCGTCATTGAGCAAACAGTTCCACAAAGAGCAAAGTTAAAACTGGAGTAATGCAGTCGTAAGATAGTTTAATGTGAATTTTCTCACTTTTCCTTGTAAAATGAGTGGAATTTACTGAATCAAAGCGCCACTTATCCTTTTATCATGGGTTGAATTAAAGCATTCCATTACCCTGAAATTGAGTCGCAATTGATAGTGACCATTTATGATTCTTGTTTATGCTATTTTAGTCCAGCTTTGAGGGTAGAAAAGCCAAAATGACTTGTTAGCAGAGCAGAACAGTTGAAATAGGATTCGAAGGATCAAAGATTCAACTGTTGCACATGACCTTTAGAAAACAACTCATTTTTTTAGACTAGCATCAAGGTAAGGCTCCTGACCTCTACTAACTAAAGAGTACATACTCATACTCAAAGTAAAAGAAAAAATACAAATTGCTTTATATAGTCATCCTGTGGCACCGATTTTCTGGAATTTATGGCTTTTCGTACAGCAATTCTTGGCATCGAATTTAAGCTGTCATTTGCATAGGGTTGAGCTTAAATGGAAACAAGTAAAGTTCCATAGTAAACTT